AGGGTTATCCTCCAATTCATACTGTTTTTTTCTTGAAAGCGACATCTTATTTGGAACCTTGTCAAATATCTTTCCGTAATCTGTATAGACAACATCCATTCACCATGTTAGTGATCTCTAGGGTAAAAAAAAAGCTACATTTTTCTGGTGTGACCGACTCGTCTCAATTCCATGCTTGTTCAAACTGTCTAAGTGCTCTGTCACTCTGTCCCTGGTGATTGATCTCAGCGACTTCCCACGACTGATGGATCTGTAGTTAAATGAACTTTGTCTTTCCTAAATAATAAAGTGACATTTGAAATGTTCTAATCCAATCACACAATTTCCAAATCTATCTAACGTGCAAATATTGTGACTAAGATCCTACAGTTTCTTCACCGGTCTGCTGCATTTTCACTTTCCATATCTTTGATGCTGCACTTTATTTTTTTTGTGCATGGCATGTGTGTGTTGTTGGTAAGGTCAGCAGTTATTGCTACTTTCTTAAACTTCTACAGTTTCCATTCCAGAATTTTGATCTAGCGGCAATGAAAGAACAGTAATGCATTAGGATTATGTGCAAATTGCGTGGCAAGTTGCTACAGTGCATCTTTCAGATGGTACACACTGATGCCACTGCACACTGGTGGTGAAGGGAATACATGTTTAGGAAGATGAATAGGGTCCTTACCTAGTTTGGCTGCTTTGTCTTAGATGGTGACGAGTTCCTAGAGTGGTGTTGAAGTAGCATTTAGTCAATCAAGTGAAGAGTATTCCATTGCACTCTGTTGTCTGTAGGTAGTGGAAAGCTTTGGGAGTCAGAAGGTGAATAACCTGCAACAGAGTACAAACCTCTGACCAGAATTTATTTGGCCGTTATCGTCAGTATTGACCCAAGTATCTTGATTTTTGATGGCTGGCAATGGTAATTTTGTTGAATATCAAAGGGATATGGTTAGATTCTCTTGGTCATGGTCATTGCTTGGAACTGTACGACACTGATTTTACTTATCACTTATCAACTCAATCTGGAATGTTGTCAAGGCCTTACTGCTCACGTGTGCAGTCAGCTTCATTTTCTGCAGTCACAAAAGACACTGAATCCTGCAATCATGCCCATTTCTGAAATTATGGTGAAGGAACAGTTAAAGTTGGTTGGGCCAAGCTACTTCCTAAGGAATTCCCGTAGTAAGATCCTGAAACTAAATTGATGGGCGTACAAAAACCACAACCATTTATTTTAGGTGTGACTTCAGTCCATGGGGAAGTTTTTCAATATTCATTTGATTTTACCAGGGCTCCTTGACGCCATAATTGGTCAGATGCTGTCTTGATGTCAAGGATAGTCACTATTGGTTCATGTCTGGTATTTGGATACTTTGTTCATGTTCAAACCAGGACTGTTGTAAGGTCTGGAACCAAGTGGTCCTAGAGGAACTCAAACTGAGTTTCAGTGGCAGATGATCATTGATTAAATGTTGTTTTAAAGCAATGTCATGATGACCTTTCCATCACCAAGATTGCCTATTTTCACCTCTGTAACACTGCCTCATTCCACTGTTGCTGAAAACGTCATCCACACCTTTACTACCTCTAGACTTCACGATCTAACACACTATTGGCCAGCCTCCCATCTCGTATCCTAAATCAACTTTTACTCATTCAAAACTGTGTATTGCTTTTCTGAAATTGCACCAGATTCCATTTGCCTATCCCAGCATTTTGACTTACATTGGTTCCCAGTTAAGCCATGCAACAATTTAAAGATTCTCAACTTTGGTTTCATATCCCACTGTAGCCATGTCACTTCTAATCCCAGTCTTAAAGCCTTCAAGATCTCTGCATTCCACCATTTGATGGCTGGGCTTTCAGCTGCCTTGGCTGCTAAGCTCTAGGTTTGCCTCCTAAATTTTGTCATATCTCTGTTTCTCCTCCTTGAAAATATTCCTTAAAGTTGCATCTGTGGCTTTTGCTGTTCAACTCCTTTGTCCTGATATGCTCTGTTGTCAGATTTTGATTGGTAATGTTCTTGTGAAGTACCTGAGGACATTGTGCTGTGTTAAAGACTCTATATAAATGTAAGTTAATGTTTTCCTCTTGGTTTGATACTATCATTTACCCCATATACTTAGGTAATCTTTGGGGCCATTGGGTGCTTATCAGCAATCAAAACTCATCTTTTCTAACAATCAGCACCTCCAGAGAGAGACATTTGGCCCTCAATTTCTTATTGTTGATCTTGATTTCCTCCCTTTCGGTCACTCTTTCTTTTTGTTCATAATAATGACATTAGACAAATCAAATTACCATGGAGTAATGGGATTGAGTTGCCAGTGTTGGATCAAGAACTGGGGAGCAGACTCATATTCTAATTAGCCAAGAATTAAGTAGCGAGGTCACACTCCAGCAATTGGATGGTAGAGAGCTCATTATTGGACCATGCACCTGGTATTAAAACTATAGCACTAGATTTTTTTTATTCATTCATAATGTGGGCATTGCTGGGCTGGCATTTATTGTCCATTGTTGCAGTATCCACTTTATTGTGGAGATGTGCTTCTGTTTTGCTTCCAATTACTTAAGATGAGAGAGCCTGTCACAACGTGGATGATCTTGTCCATGAAATTACACATTTTTCTTGACCTTTGCTATTCAATATATTTTTCATCATTAAGTCGTTTCCATGCAAGTGGTTTAATTTAGTGTTGAAGCTTTCTTTACTGTGGAGGGCTGTTGAGGCTGAGTATATTCAAGACTAAGATAGATTTATAATTGGTAACGGAATTAAGGATTATGGGGATAAAGAAGGAAAGTGAATTTGAGGATTATCAGATCATCTTTTGAATGGTGGAGCAGACTTAATGGACAAAATAGCTTTCTTCTTTTCCCATGTCTAATGGTCTTAAGCCTGTCAGTTTGTCTGATAGCCCTTTCAGAACTACCTTTGTTTACAAAGATGGAGGACCAATGTAGGCATTAGAGATACTGGAACATTCTCATAAGGTCAATTCCACAAGTCCTGGCAACTCTCCTGTGTTTTGTCCAAGTGCCCACTTTTTGTGTGCAGGTCTGAATGATGGGCAGCAGGAGGTTTTTCATCTGTAGGTTTAGCCATCACAGCCAAGCCCAATCCTGCCCTGTGTCCACATGCATTCTTTCTAGTTGGAATTGATGAAGAAGGAACTGAGCTGGGAGGCTTTAGTAGTTTTTGTTCTGCATGATCTGGGAGCGCAAGGCTCCATGGTGCCGCAGTCTTATAAATGGAGCTTTCTATGGTAGTGGTCACCACACACATAATTGATGCATTTGCTAGTATTTGAGCTCCAAAGATGCAGTGAAATGGGAAATCTGTATTTTTTGTAGGACTTGAAAGCTGCTGTCAATTCTTCATTTCCAATCAAAAGTGCAGAACTAGGTTTCTATTCTCTTCTCTTTTTTCCCCCATTAGCCGTATTAATTGTGGGTCTTTCATCGCCAGTATTCCAGCGGCCGTAAGTTAAACAGGACAACAACACATTTGGATGCTAATTCTCATTTGCATGCAACCCAAACTTAAAGGCTTCTCTTGTACTCTGACAGCTGTTATCGACAATAAATTCTTACTGCTAATATGAAGCAAGTGTTGCAATGTGCTTGCTTTTCCGTTCCCTCTTCTGCTTCTAATTCCACACTACAACTCTGCTTGTTTCCAGCGCCTTTTTTGTACACTGTTCCAATTCTCAGCTGTTCCGCAGATGGTTTTTTTGAGTTGTCAGTGCAGTGACACTGAGTTTCACATTTCATAAAGGATTGCAAGCAAACTAGTGTGCTTTCTTTAATCAATGTTGGTCAGGCTGCTGAGTCTGACAGCAGTACAATCTCTGTGTCAGTTTAGTGCATGCTCTCTGTACTGGGTGCAGTATATATCATCAGACTTCAGCAAATTGCTGCTCACTGTTCCGGGCGTTTTGGTATGTCACAGTACAGAAGCATATCTTTTAACTCCATCAAGTCTGCATCAATGAGCCAAACTCCCTTTTCTGCTAACTCAATTGTACCCTTAAATATTTGTCTTTTTCAAAAGAAAGTTTATTAATGATATTTGTGAAAGACAAATCTCTATTGTAGCCACCATCTGTAAATAGTTTCTACAAAAAAAAATTTCTACACTTCAATTCTTTCTGTAATCTTAAATTTGTACTCAGTCCCTTGTTCTTATTTCATTAGCTGTTAAAGTTGTAATTGAGCAGAGTTTAAATGTTTTGATACTGAGGTCAATCCCACGCTGTATTGTAAAATTTCCAAGGTCTTGCTGTGACATACACCTTTTTCATAAGATGCAATGAAAAGCTAAACAAATATCAGGTTTGAAGTGGGTGTGAGGATTACAGTGTTTAACCTGGGAATATCATGTCTAGGAAGGCAAGCTTGGAATATAAAATTACGTGGCCAGATAGATGTTATAGGATGTAGCTTGACTTAGGTGTGCATAACCGAGAGATTAAATAGTCCCTGCAAGAGTGAATTGTGCATGATCCAAATGCTATATGTTCCTGGTGTATAACATGTAGCAAAGATCCCACCCTATGACTCTTGTAAATTGCAAGATAAAAGGTATGTATAATATCCTAGAATAAAAGGTGGCCTGTGAGTTGGTTAGTCCATTAAAAAGCATAAAGAAAGCAGAGTGCCAACCTTCTCCTCCAGCACGTTACTTCCTCGAATGATGATTTTCTAGGGACTTGCTGAAAGAAGACTTCTTGATGATAAGACAGAATTGGAGGAAGGGCTGTCCCTGGGTTTGATTTGTGCACTGCACTGTGGAAAATGTTGCTGCAGTCAAGAGCATTATCTGGGGCATCAGAAGAACTGAGAACAAAACAAGAATTTCACATTTTAATCAAAAACATATTCAAGAAAGTTACATGGTGTGCATCCTCCTTATTTGTTCCATGTAGTATTTGTCAGTTGAGTGCTCACTGCAGGATAATGCAGGGTGTCATCAGGTTTTGAAGCTGACTCTCTCGATTATTTTGTTGAAGGTGTCGACATGCAGCCATTGCCAAGTATTTTGGAGATGAGGTGCCAGCCTGTAATCGAACCTGTGATCATTGTAAGAATCCAGAGATTGTGATGAGACAGCTGGATTCCCTTCAGAGATTCGAAATCAGCAAGGCTCAGACATCTGTTAAAATGCCAACATCCCAGGGGCCATTTGGGTACATCCACGATCTGTATGAAGGAGGAAGGAAGGGCTATGGCTTTGAAAGGTAATGTTCATCATGGTAAGATTTATTACCAATATTTGCAATTGATGCATAGTGTATGCAAATGTTGGCACTTTGTTTGAACATTGTAAGAAAGGAGACGGTAGCTAAATTTGAGATGTTACCAGGCTCACAATGGACAAGCCATCTCCTAAAGGGTTCTCATTGTCACCAATTGCATTTTGGAACTGCATGACCAACCTCTCTATCAAAGCACAATTAATGTTGATTTATCATGAAAACAGATGTTTTGTTGTTGGTTTGAGATTAATGGATTAAGGAAAAATTCTCCTTAGTTTGTCAAACCTGGCTTCACACATCGCTAACAGTACAATGCTATCTTTGAGAGCTGATGGACGTGACTGGAAACACACAATCAAAACTTTTATCTTGCACTCATTGGGACTGATAGCAAAGAACCAAACAATTTAAGATAACACTAATTTATTTAATTATAATTGGCATGAAGATGCCGCAGGAACTATTAGCTCTCAATCGTCGTTAGCTGTGAAATCTCAGACCAGGCAAGTAGATTCTGATTGGTCAGGGCACTGTCATTGGGGAATGCAGCAGGGATTGGCAGTTCCAATGACCCTTTCCTCAATTAAAATGGTACAACGTGATCAAATTCCTTAGCCTACATAGAACAGGATCCTTTGTGTTAATTATACAAAGCAAATAGCAAGGGCAAATTCATCATGCTGTGAGCCTGACAAATGATCTTAAATTGGTTTCCCATGTGGTTCTTAGCTTAGTCAGGGTTATTCAGTAAATGGCAGCCAATAGACGAATCACATCTAATGTTGGGCATGGTCTTGTGAGGTTGTTGACTTGCTCGCCGAGCTGGCTTGTTGTTGTTCAGATGTTTTGTCACCATGCTAGGTGACATCATCAGTGGAGCCTCCGATGAAGCGATGTTATTCTACTCCACTTGGAATTTATACTGTCTGGTCCATTATGGTGAGTATTGTCATTTCTGGTTTTGATCTGTATGGGTTTATATATGGGGTGCAATTCTATATGTTTGTTGGGCTACTATGGTTACTATGTCCCAGGTAAACTGATGGCCTTCGTTGTCTGAATGTACAGATATTAAGGAGAGTTCATCATGCCGTTTTGCTGCTAGCTGATGTTCATGTATGCTGATGGCTAGTTTCCTTCCTGTCTGTCCTGTTTGTGGCAGTCTGTACATTCAGGCAATGATGGCCATCAGTTTAACTGGGACAAAGTAACCACAGTAGCCCAAGCCAAACATAGACATGCATGGGAATTTCTAGAGGCATGGTTCTCCACCCATACTTCAATCAACAAACATATAGAATTGGACCCCATATACAAACTCATACAGATCAAAACTGGAAATGACAGTACTCGCCATAATGGACCAGACAGTATAAATTCCAAGCGGAATAAAATTAACATCACTTCATCGGAGGCTCCACTGATGATGTCACGTAGCGTGGTGATGAAACATTTGAACAAAAACAAGCCAGCTCGGTGAGCAAGTCAACAACCTTATCTACAACCTGAGCTACAGATCTTAGCTAAAACTTTAAATCGCCTTCTGAGGTTTGCAAGCATGGATTGGTTGAGCACGATCAGCATATGGGCTGTGGTGGATTGTCAAAGGGATATGTTGTTTGATATAACAACATCTGGCAATCATTGAGACTTATGACATACTTACCCGGTATTTTATCTATGCTGAAAATTATATCCAGACTGATTTGTGTTGACTGCACTGTTCAGGAACACATGTGGTCCGTGGGTCTTTTCATGAGTTGTGCAAGATACAGCAAGTAGAGGTTTGGTTAGGGTAGGTATTTATCACTAAAGGTGTCTCAAAAATTTGAATAACAGGTGAAGCTTGCCGTCATAAACTGCTAATTTGCAGTACAAACACAAATGGTGTTCTTGAGTGTGGGAGACTCCTATAAAGTCAAAAGGACGTTTTACCTGCCACACAAATGAGTAATGTGATATGAGTAGGTGTGAGCGCAATGCCATCTTTGTTAAGTCGTACATCCCAATGACTGGCAGACCACGTCAAACAACACATCTCTTTGACCATTCGCATTGTGCAAAATGTGCTCAACCAGTTTGTGCTTGCAAACCTCAGAATACCATGTCCAATGTACCATGTCCAGATGTGATTCTACTATTGGGAACGTTCATTAAGTAATTCTGACTGTGCTCAGAATTAGACAGGAAACCAATTTAAGATGATCCGTTAGGCAGTGTGATCCATTTGCATTATTAGAAGCTACATATAATAACATACAGGACCCTGTTCTATGTAGGCAAAAAGGAATTTGTCCCTTAATTGCACCTCTTTCATTGAGGAAAGATCATAGAGAGTGTCAATCCCTGCTGATTTCCCCATGACAGCCCCCTGACCAATCGGAATCTACCTTGCTTGGTCTGAGTTGTAACGTTTTCTTTTTTCACAAAACCATGCGTAAAGATTTGGTTCAATGCAGGACACAAACTGCAAGATGGAAACTCATTCAGTGAAATCAAGCATGCCAAGAAGCAATGATTTGGTGACACTAAACTTGGCTTGTAAAAGCCTGAAGATTTTAGCAGGAGGAATACAACAAGTTCCACAATATCAAATCATTCTGCATATTATTTCATCACTTTTAGCATATGACATCGGCATGGATTTACAGATAGGCAGTGACTACTGTGACTGTTAGGAGTTGTCACATTGTGTGAAATGGTCTGTTGCAAATTATTGCAGCCTGAATTCTTGTTATTTGACCAGTTCAGTCCTCTTGTTTAGTTGATTCCACTGTCTTTCAGATATGGTAATGAAGATGGTGATAACGAATCAGATGGAGAAAATGAGTCCAGAAAAAAGGAATGGAACGCATTTTTTCATAAACAGATGAAGCTACGGAAGGTAAAGTTGATAAAGAACTGATTTAAGATCAGATGAACACTTGGCCAATTTGGTAGTTATTAGTAGCAGTGAATTCAGTTTGCATTAAATGGTCATCGGTAAGCATCAGACTCTCAGCTGTAAAGGATATTGTCACCAATCCAAAACTGAAAGGGGAGAGGCAGGTGGAAAGTGGTGTGATTAAACACTCTGAGATAGTAAGAACTGCCGATGCTGGAGTTAGAGATAACACAGTGTGGAGCTGGAGGAGCACAGCAGGCCAGGCAGCATTAGAGGAGCAGGAAAGTTGACATTTTGGGTCGGGACCCTTCTTTAGAAATGGGGGAGGGGGAAGGGATCTCAGAAATGAATAGAAAGAGGAGGGATGGGGATGGGGAAGGTGCGTGGGATGGTGATAGGTGAGTGCAGGTAGGCAGTGGTCGGGATTGGTCAATAAGATGGGAGGAGCAGATAGGTGGGAAAGAAGATGGACAGGTTGTGTCAGGTCAAGGAGGCGGGGATGAGAGGGAGGGCTGGTCATGGGATGAGGCTGGGAGTGGGGAGATTAAAATACCCTGTTTCCCATGCAAGGTATCTCCTAATCTCTAACTTAATTTCCCATAGAATGGAGAGCCTGAAAAGGATAACTTCGTACCACCTGGTGAGTCTGATTAAAATAATTTACAAGTTTCACTGTTTGTTTCATATATTTTCAGTGTAAAGGAAATGTATAAATCTTGCACACCATGTATGATAATTCCATCATCAGGTTTGTGCTGCTATTGGTACAAAGACTATGGCCAAGCACTGCCGTATCCATCCTCTCATATCACGTAAGCATGGAAAAGAACTCCTGAATGCCAAAATCTTCTGAGGTAAACTTACAAAAAAGATACAGCACCATTCAACCCAGTTAGTTTATACAGTTCCTGGAGACGAAGGATGACTTTATACCATTCTGGAGATAGTCATTAGGCGACTAGGCAGTCTAGTGTTGGTTCGTACACCCTGCTGCAGGTGGGGCACATAGTGTTTGAAGAGGTGGGGGTTGAGATGCTCAGATTTCGACTTGTTCCTCTGCTGTTTGCATTTTGCCTCTATCTGGGCCTGATAGAGATGTTTGGGATGTTGGCACCTTAGCAGATACTCCATCTCCAGCTTAGGTAGTCTTGAGAAAGAGATTTCCGTTCGACAATGGGGATATTGCATTTTTTTTGGGAGGCTTTGAAAATAACCTTGAAACATTTTCTTATTTTGAAAGTCTTATGTTAGCAATGCGGATGATATGGCCCATCCAACACATCTGATTCACAGTTGATTTGCAGTAACCTGTCCCTTGAAGCTGCAGGTGTTGGCCTGAGTGAGGACACTGATGTTGGAAGGCCTATTTTGCCACTGGATTTGCAGGACTCTGTGGAGGCATTTTTGTCATATTTCTTTAGGGACTTGAGATATTTCCTGTCCTTTGTCCATGTCTCTGATGCATACAGAGGTGCACGTAGAACTGTTGTTCTGTAGACCTTGACCTTGATTCTGGTTCTGAGGTATGTATCTTCAAACACCATTTTTCTCAGACAGCCAAAGGTTGCACTGGCTCAGATGGGGTTGATATTGAATTTCATAATGATTATCTGCTTTTGTTGAAAGGAGGCTACCAGATATGTCTCATCAAATACCTCAGGAACAGCGTCTCTGTTAAAATAACTTTTAATACACCTGTGTTACATTTCCTGTACAAGCTGCACTGTCGTATCTCTCAGGCTCAGCATTAAATTTTGAAGCAGTTTTCCATGGCGGATCTGTATCTGTTGTTAACCGTTCTGAAACTGTCTTGAACAACTTTAAATTTTGCTGTAATTGTGAAGTTTTATAGCTGTGTCGTACACACGCATAACTTCTGCACCTATGCTGATGCCCAGTTCAAAGGCAATAGTCCAATATGGCAGAAAGAGGTGCTAGATCCAGAAGGTTTAGAGAGGTAAATCAGTAATGTCATAACATGGGTGACGCCTAGACTGCACGTTAGAAAAAATAGATCAATATTTCATTCTGGAGCGACACAAACTCATCTCCAGGAATTCTTCCATAGGAATAAATGGATCTTTTTCAGAGTGAGTTTGATGACTAGAGGGAACTGCAGGATTCGGTGCTTGGGTCACAGATGTTATGATTATATCAACAGTTTGAATGGTGGAATCAAATGTAATATTTCCTGGTTTGCTGATGGTACAAATCTAGGGGATGATGAGGAGGTGCTGGTGTTGGACTGGGTGGGCAAGGTCAGAAATCACACAACACCAGGTTATAGTCCAACAGGTTTATTTGAAAACACAAGCTTTCGTAGCCTTACTCCTCCTTCAGGTGTTAGTGAGAGACGTAGTATCAGGCACAGAATTTATAAGTAAAAGATCAAAGGGTCTTTTACGAGGATGTACGAAACAAACCTAAGATGCTGTTAAGTCTTTAATCAGTTAGAGGGTTTTAACTGATTAATATAGAATCGTAGAATTCCTACAGTGCAGAAACAGGCCCTTCGGCCCAAAAAATGCACACCGACATTCAGAGCATCCCACCCAGACCCATCTTCCCTAATCTATGCATTCCTGAACTCTATGGGCAATTTAGCATGGCCAATCGACCTAGCCTGTACATCTTTGGAATGTGGGAGGAAACTGGAGCACCCGGAGGAAACCCACACAGATATGGGAGAATGTGCAAATTCCACACAGACAGTCGCCCAAGGGTGGAATCGAACCCAGGTCCCTGGTGCTGTGAGGCAGCAGTGCTAACCACTGAGCCACCATGCCACCCTAATATGTATATGTAAATCCCTGAATTCCTTTGAAGTCACTATCCTGAGAAAGTTAAAGATTTTATCACTGTAAAGAAGAGGTGACATTTTAGGTCAGACAATGCATGTTAGGTGTGAGGCCTTGTTTAGAATCTGTTTGTGTTTTGGTTTGGAGTCAGACCGGTTTTATTTTCAAAGCAGGAATTTTTAAAACGACACATTGACTGACTGTTTATCAATAGTGTGCTTTTTGAACGAAATAGAATGTATCCGCAAATACAAATTCACCCCATAGATTCATGCGCGTGTGTGTGAGTGAGAGAGTGTGAATGAGAGACGGAAAGATCTTTTACTTATAAATCTCTGTCTGATACTACCTCTCTCACTAACACCTGAAGAAGGATTTAAGACTCCTGAAAGCTTGTGTTTACAAATAAACCTGTTGGACTATAACCTGGTGTTATGTGATTTCTGAACAAATCTGGGAGGAATTGTGAATAGTGAGGAAGTTGAAAAGAACCTTCAAGACATTTTGGACAAGTATTGTAAATGAGCAAATGCTTAGCAGATGTAGTATAATGTGGATAATTGTGAAATTCTGCTATTCTGTTTATCCAACAAAAGTGGATAATTTCACAATTATCCACAGTTGGATAAACAGAATGGCAGAAGGTTGTTTAAATGGTGGTAGTTTGGGAAACGTTGATGAACAAACAAACATGCAGACACAGCAGGCAGTCAGGGTAGGCACATAGTACGTTGGCTTTTGTTGAAAGAGGGTTTGACAACATGAGCAAGAAAGTCTCCTGCAACTGTACAGAACCTCAATGAGACCATGCTTGAAGGATTGTGTGCAGTTTTGGTCTCCTTCACTGAGAAAATATATACTTACCATAGAGTGAGAGTGTGAAGATTGACTAAATTGATTCCTGGGATAGCAGGTTAACCAGATGAGGAAAGATTGGGTTGACTGAGTCTGTATTCATTACGATTTAGAAGAATAATAGGAGATCTCATTGAATCATATAAAATTCTGATAGATTGGATGCACAGATGATGTTTCCTCAGTTCGAACTAAAATGAGAAAAAATTTCTTCAGTCAAATGGTCGCCACCACATTCGGATGTGGAGGTGATATCACTGAATATGTTTAAAAAGGAGTTTAAAGGTATCAAGAGGTATGGGGAGTATGGTAGTTTGGTATTGAAATAGAGGATCAGCCATGTCAAATGATAGAATGGGCTTGATGGGCTAAATGACCTACTCCTCCTACTCTATCTGTTTCTACAAAAAGGACAAGTGGTGAAAGAACAGTTAAGTTAGCAAGTCTGCCCAGACTAGTGATGCTGGCCGAACACTTTCTGTCTCATCCCACTCACGCCCACAACAATATTTGTAATCCAGGAGTGGCAAAATGATCATAAAAAAAATATGAAAATGATCATGGGCCAATTAGGAGTGGAAAAATTTGCAAAATCCATCTCTATCTTCCCTTGGCAATCAAAACTGGTACAGGAAACTGGTACATTTCTGAAGAAGGGTCTCGACCCGAAACATCAGCTTTCCTGCTCCTCTGCTGCTTGGCCTGCCGTGTTCATCCAGCTGTACACTTTGTTATCTCAGATTCTCCAGCATCAGCAGTTCCTACTATCTCTGGTACATGAAATCTTTTTGACCAAGTTTACATTAACTGTTAATCTGCTTACTGTTTATATAAAACCTCAACATCTAGACCTCCACAACCATAACATGATCCAAGTATTTGAGAGGGTACTTGACTGGGAAATAAAGATACTACACTGAGACAAAAAGGCAGATTAATTGAGAAGAAAAATGCCAAATCAGACCATTAAAATAACAGAGTTTAAACCAGGATTAAAATTAGATGTATTGGGAAATTCAGCAGGTCTAGTGGCATCTGCAGAGGGAGAAACAATGAATGTTTTAAGTCTGATATGATTCTTCATGCCAGATCTGCTGTGTTTCTATTTCAGACCTCCAGCATCTGCAGTATTTTGCTTTTATTTTGATTTTAAACAGGGACGCTTGGGGTACAACAAATGTGAAGCATAAGAGTTAAGGAAAAGGGTTATGACTGGTTGGGAAAGAAAGTATTGTGTGGATCGAAGGTATGACAGATACAAATGAGTACCATGCCTCGGTTTATACAGCAGACTATAGTAATGGAATGGAAGTGTAGAACAGAAAATGGACTATTTGATACCACAGCTGTAAACAACAAACAGTATTAGAAATACAGTTGGAAATCAAAAGTGGAAAAGGCACTCTTTTCTGATGCCATTGATGAAGAATGCCAGAAAAGAAATCACAGGCTGTAATTGCAATATTGTAATCGTTTGGATGTTATGTCAGAGAATTGAAAAGTTGCCAATATATTACCCCTGTTTGAAAAGGAGGGGATTGAGTATGACAATATAAGGTTTATCATAGAACATAGAACTGTACAGCATAGGAATGGGCCAATTGGCCCGCGATGTTGTGCCAAACATGACGGCAAATTAAACTAATCCCTTATGCCTGCCCTTGGTCCAGATCCCTTCATTCTTTGCATTTTCATGTGCTTATCTAAAAGTCTCTTAAATGCCCCTATTGTATCTGCCTCCACCACCACCTCTGGCAGAGCATTCCACACTCCTACCACTTTCTGTGTAAAAAAACTTTCCCCTCATGTCTACTCTGACCCTTCACCCCTCACACTAAATGCATGCCCCCTAGTTTTAAATGTTTCAGCTCTGGGGAAAAAGAGTCTGACCGTTAACCCTATCTGTGCATTTCAAAATTTTGTAGACTTCTATCAAGTCTCCCCACAGTCTCTGCCACTCCAGAGAAAACAACCCTAGTTTTTCTAGCCTGTCATTATAGCTCATACTCTCCAGTCCAGGCAGCATCCTCATAAACCTCTTCTCTCCAAAGCCTCCACAACCTTCCTGTAATGTGGAGACCAGAACTGAATGCAGTACTCTTAAGTGTGGCCAAACCAAAGTCTTGTAAAGCTACAACATGACATCCTGACTCTTGTACTCAATTCCCCAATCAATAAAGGCAAATACACCCCTCTATCTACTTGCGTGGCCACTTTCAGGGAGCTATGGACTTGAACCCCAAGGTTCCTCTGGACATCAATGCTGTTCAATGAGAATAACTGTATACGTTTCCATAACATTTGATCTCCCAAAGTGCAGCATCTCAAACTTACATAGCCATGCTGACTGCCCCTAATTAGGCCATGCTTTTCCAAATGCATGTAAATCCTATCCCTAAGAATTCTCTCCAATAGCTTCCCAAACACCAATGTGAGACTCACTGGTCTACAGTTTCCTCGATTATCCCTATTTCCCTTCTTGAAAAGAGGAATAACATTAGCTATTCATTTAATTCTCCGGGACCTCTCTAGTAGCTAATCAGGATACAAAGATCTTGGTCAAGGTCCCAGCAATCTCCTCTTTTGCCTCTCTCAAGAACCTGGGGTAGATACCTTCCGGGCCTGGGGACTTATCCACCTTAATGGTTTTTAAGAGACCCAACATCACTTCTTTCTTGATGTCAAAATGTCCTAGCATATTAGCATGCTCCGCACAAATCTCTCTTTCCACTGTATCTTTCTTCTGGGTGAGTACTGATGCAAAGTATTCATTTAGATTTTCACCCACATCCTCTGCCTCCAAGCACAAGTTCCCTCCTTTATCCTTCAGTGGTTCTACCTTCTCCCTAATTATCTTCTTGTTTTTAAATCTATGTATAGAATGCATTGGGATTCTCTTTAACCCAACTGGCCAAGGTAATTTCATGGCCCCTTCTTGCTCTCCTAATTCCCTGCTTGAGTTCTTTCCTGCTTTTTTTATATTCCTCATGGGCCCTGTCCGATTTTAGCTTCCTAAACCTTACGTATTCTTCTTTTTTCGTTTTGACTAAATTCATAGCCTCCCTCGTTATCCAAGGGTCCCTCACCTTGCAATCTTGTCCCTTCTCCTTACTGGAACATCCAGTCTTGAACTCTCATCAGCAGGTCATCAAACAATTCCCACATGTCAAATGTGGACTTGCCCAATAAACATTACCTAGCTCCTGCCTAATACTGATGTAATTTGCCCTCCCCCAACTTAGTACCTTTAATCTGAGGGTCAACATGTCTTAAGCAAGGGGAAAAGTTGAGAAGGAGAGATCTTTATGGTAACCTCAGCCAGTACAGGAATTAAACCTGCACTTTTGGCATCACACAGCATGTCCAGCCATTTGAGATAAAAATTATCCTTACATTTTTTTTTGTACACCTCAATAAAGTCATCTCTCAGCCTCCTGTGTTCTAAGGAAAACGACCTCAGACTATCCAATCTTTCATCATAGCTGCAATTTTCAAGCTCTGAGACATTTTCATACTCTCTCTAGAACAGTTATGTCTTTCCTGTAACGTGGTGAGTAGGACCATGCACAAAACCCTGGCTGTGGCCTACCCAGTGTCTTATATAGTTCCAGCGTTACAACCTTGTTCTCATATTCAATACATTGGCCAATGAAGGAAAGCATCTTATTTACTTTCTTCACTACTTACCTACCTGCCCTGCAATTTTAAGGGACCTGTAAGTATGCACTTCAAATTCTGTCACTTCCTCAACTCAATAACCTCTCATATCTATGATTGATTGACTTGTTTTGTTTGTTCTCCACAAATGCATAATCGTGCAATTCTTTGGATTGAATTCCCATTTGCCATTTTTCCACCCAGGCGACCAAACCACTGATATCTTCCTGCAGTCAACAGCCATCTCCTTCCATAGTAACTACATGATCAATTTTTGTTTCATCTATCAATTTCCCAATCATACCACCTGTATAAAAGTCTAAATCATTTATGCATACCACAAATAGCAAGAGACCTCTATCTGAGCCCTGTGGAACACCATTGAAAACCGCTTACCATTCACAAAATCTACCTTGTCAATCTTCCTTGTCACTTCCACAAAAAATTCAATTTAGTCAGTAAGACACAACCTTCTCTTGAAAAAACCAGGCTATCTCTGATTAACCCATGTCTCTCCAAGTAACAGTTAATCCCATCTCAATATAGATTCCAGTAAGTTTTCCACTGCTGAGGTCAGACTGACAGTCTATATCATATGTTATTATAATTTGGGTTATAAAGTTGAGGTAAATGACATTTTCAGTCTGTGAAAATGATTTTTTTAAGAAGGGTTAGAAGCTCTTTATTTTAGCAGAGGGTCAATATTGCATTCTCAAGAAATTGTGACTTAAGCTAAATGACTTGACAAGCTACCCATGAAGGTAACTTCTGAATTATTTACTATGTTAGGCTTTTACAACCCAGATGGGGAGAGGCCAGAATTAGGTTCGGTTCAGAAGATAAGATCCATATTGCAGAAGGGCTATTTAACAAGATAGTTGAGAAAAGTGAATTAGCCTGTCTGTGTATCTCAGAGAAAGATAAAAAGGCTCATATCTGGTGATTGTGGAGAAAGTTGCTGAAAAGAATGTTTACAACCTTGTCAGTTGAGTACGAGATTGAGTCAAGATAGGAGTGATATTTCACAGGGACTGAGTGCCTCTTAAGGATATTGCTGGGAATAAGGGTTGAATCTTTATTTTTGCTGTTTGTGATTGGACTTTCCAAATCATCTATATGGCATTTTTTCCTTTTCCATTTGTGTAATAAACTTGTGTTCTTTTGTTCACAGTATATTGGCAGCCTCTTGTGAATATGTTCAGTGACTGACCACCATGGTAACCAAATTGCAAAAATAAATCTTATGGTCCGTCAAGCCAGGTTTCACTCTTGACCATCTTACCATCATCTGGGATGATAACAATTCTAACAGCAGTTCATAACACTGGACAAAATGAATGGTCATAGGGAAAATCTTGGTTAACGAACAGCAGCAGTATGGATATGTAATGGACAAATTGTGACTGGAAAATTTGAATGTTGTTTGGGAGAATACAAAAACTTATGTCTTTTGTGAAAGCATGAACTCCCATAGTGCTGTACGGACAATTTTATGTACTTTAATGATAAATGAATTGGTGTAATAATGGAAGATAATTTAGTATAATTGTTATGAGTGCTGATTTCCTTTACCTTTCACTTTCTTTTCCTTTCCCAATTTTCCCCCACCCCACTAGTTCTGTTATTCCCGACCTGCTTGATCTGAAATATTCAAACTCTTCCCAAATACCTACTTATACTTGATGTATAAAGGGGAAAAAAAAGTCTTATCTCAAGTCGCGATTCCTTCCTTTGCCAGTCACCATCAACCAGTGCCCACTGTTTATCAAACTGTCCACCTGCCCGCTTTTGGAGAAATGTCAAAACTCACTGGGATGTTGAGATGGATGACTAGATTTAGGCATGGGAGAGGGTGATAAATTTGACTTTGCTGAAAATATGGAAGGGTAGAATGATAGAAAATACTTATTTAATCTATATAGTTTATTGTTGCATAGCTTAGTAAACAAAGAATATGTTATGCTTCCCACTGACTTCATGCTTTTTTTTTAAACGTCCAGGTCTTGTGAAAATTCTCGCGGCTTTCTGTTCAAGCCTAAATACTTATGCAGTCTTCCTGCAATAAAAACCATTGCTGTGTACATCTGTTACTATATTTTATCTCTGACTGCTTAGAGTGGGGAAGGGGAGGCTTATTAGCTGCCCAGGATGTACATTACTTATCAATTTACCCAACTTCAAATTAGCCACAAAACTGCCTATCACCTCATTTAAATGGATGCGCTATTCTTTAAGGCCATAACTCTTTTTCAAATCGTGTTTTTTGTGGAAACATGGTCAGAGGTTCTCAAAGTTGATAGGAAATTGATGAGGGAGGAGAATAAATGGATATCTTTTTCACAGAGCTGGTACAAACACAATAGCTGAATCTGCTACTCCTGTGCTAAACTCCAAAGTCAATGGTACTTTGAGAGCTCAGTACTTTGTCTTCTTGAAGGCCTGGTAAATTTGAAAATTAATGTTACATCATGTGTGTTTGTATTTTAAGATCCTGACTGTCCCCTCCGAGATGCAGCTAATCGGAAAATACCCAAGTTGTCTGTCAAGGTACTGAGTAGCATTACAGTAAATATCCTCTTTAAGGAGTATTTTGGATTGAAATGGTATTTGAACTATTATACATTAATGAATAATATTGATTTAAGTTTTGTACCACTGTATAAAAATCTAGGGATGTACTGTGTGAGTTTGTTTATCAACTATTTAAATCAGCAAATTGGAAGCAGTGTATGGTGCAGTGTGAACTCTGATAGAGTTTAAATCTTTACATTTCTCATACAGTATACATATTTGTAGTTGCATAACTGGAGAAACCCTTTGGGTGATACTTAAGTGACATTGCCTAACCAATACATTCTTGACACTGTCTGCACAAACTGGTTTGCAGATGGATTACCACAAACGTTATGGTCCCCATCAAATAACCAAAATTACCAAAGAACCCAAAAGAAGAGATTACCAACAGGATTGATGCCAAATTTGCGGACAGTACGATAGGTAGGAAAGCAAGAAAAAGCAAGTTGTGAGGAGAATGCAAAGTGTCTGCAAAAAGAAGGAAAACTTCAATCATTGGGCAAAAACTTTGGTAAAATAGATTTTGGGGAAAACCAAGGAGGTCCACTTTAGTGGGGAGAACAGGAAAGCAGAATATTATTTAAATGGAGAGAAACTGTAGGACACTGCAGAACAGAAATAATTGGGTGTCCTTGTATCATATAAAGTCAATAAGCAGGTACAGCATGTAATTAGGAAGACAGATGAACTGTTGGCTTTCATTGTAAGGGATAGAATATGTAAGTAGGAAAGTCCTGCTTCAGCTGTACAGGGCATTGGTTAAACCACATCTACGGCAGTGTGAAGAGCTTAGGTCATATTAAAAAAAGGATTTACTTGTATTGGAAACAGTTCAGCGAAGATTCATTAGGCAGATTGTTGGGATGATGAGTTTTGCCTATGAGGTGGACCTATAATTGTGGAAATTTAGAAAGAAGGGAGGTTGAATTATTTTATAAAATATATTGCTTTACAAAATAATGGAATATTGTATTGAGATATAAGATTTTGAGGTGGCTTGATGAGTGCAGAGAGAATGTTTTCACTCAAGGAATTTAGACTAAGAGGCTGAGTTTTAAAAGGAGTCTACCATTTAAGATGGAGAAGAGGAGAACTTCTTTGAGGGTTGTTAGTGTGTGGAATTCTCTTTTCCAGTAAGCTGTGAAGACTTGGTCATGGAATATATTCAAGACTGAGAATGGGTTTTGACAAGTGAGTCAAAGGTTATTGGAGACAGGTGAAAATGGAGTTGAAGGAAATTATCTGATTAGCCATGATATTATTTGTTGGTGGAACAGGCGTGAGTGGCCAAATGTTCTATTCCTGCTTTTTCTTACGCTATTATTTCACTTTTTCTTAACTTTGGTTTTAACACAAAATATAATTAACATAAATTAAGTATGAATTAATAGGAAAATGATGTTTTAAATTAAAAGACATATTTCTGTTTAAAATACTGGGAAGTAGATCTTGCATGACCATAAACACCCACATCACTCCCTGTGTAAATGTGGCACAGTGTAGCTGCACAGTCCTAGAATATGTTGTTATTTATCCTGCAAGGTAGCCAGGAGTTCTGTCGGTTGCTCATTTTCACCTTCTGGTTTTGCGGGTATGATCATCATCAGTTAGCCACACTGCAACTTCATTTTCTTTATTAGTAAAAGCCTCTTAAAATTCACAATTTTAAGGTTATGTTGAAATTCATCCAAGAAATTCTCTCTATTCAGTTCAAAAATTTCTTTGATTTCAGTCTGCTTTTCTTCCTTGCACTGTGTTGAGTTTTGTTTGATTCCATTCCAGAAACAGCTGTTGATTCTTTGTTTTCATGTTTCAATTTACATTCAAGAATGTCTTTTTTCTAAATTGTGAACGTTGCACTTCATTTTTCTACTTTTTTTTTTGAAACATGTCCTTCCTCAGCTGCTATCTGCTTTGCTTATTTTTGACTGTACTTTGACTTTGTTTTTATTTCTGAAGACTTTAATTCACCTCTAAATGCTATTAATTTTTCTTTTTCCTATATCCTTTTAAAATTAATTGGCTGAGTAGGTCACTCTTTGGACACATCGAAACATTAAAACTGGCAGAAAGTTGCAGACCATTTAAGTTGCTCCGCTTTTTCTGCACGATTTCAGCTTCAAGAGCCTCTAGCTTCCCCAAGATTACCGGAGACGACAATATCTTACATCCAGTTAAGTCATTTCACAATAGGTAACCTACACTGTCAATAAGCAAATTAGTTAGATCGCCAACAATTACGGAACCCCTAAGGCACACTTTAAATCAACTCTAATTCTATACAAAGGCTGCCCTTGACCTTACAGGTGCTTGCAGCTTTGGAAGGTGCTGTAATTAGTTAAGGCATAATTGGGAAAAAGATGCTGTCATTGGTTATTGACATAGTAGCACTACCAAGGCTCTTTGCAAAGGTTAAATGTTCAGATCAGTGAAACTTTTTTTGTTATTTGCTTGTCACAATTTGGCTCACATCAGTTGTAAAGTTGCCAACATCACGCAAAACAATGAAAGAAGGAGTGAAATTGTTGATCCATGGGGCTCAGCTGTTAAAGACAGTATTGAAGTGAACCATGTAGAACAGATGCTTCCAGATATTATTCATGGCAAATAGTAAGTTAACTGATAGTAAGGAAGCTGACAACAGCTGCCCTGACAGCCTCAGATGCACCTGCTCCCTCAGACACCACCGCACATGTCAGTTGGACTTTTTGAGAGTGAACCCATGGAAAACGACAGGCCCAGATCAAGTACCTTGTCATGCACACAGATCAGGCGCATGCCAACTGGTGGGAGTATTCGCTGACATCTTTAACCTCTTCTTACCACGATCTGAAGTCACTACCTGCTTCAAGAAGTCTGACGTTATCCTAGTACCAAAGAAAACCCATGCCACGTGCCTCAATAGCGACTGCCTGGTGGCTCTGACCGCCATAATTATGAAGTGCTTCCAGAGGTTAATCATGGCTTATATCAACTCTAGCCTCCCAGCCTGCCTTGATCCCTCGCAATTCACCTACCATTGCAACAGGCCCATGACAGACGCTATCTTCCTGGAACTACATTCATCTCTGGAACATCTGGATAACAAGGATACCCACATCAGGGATAACAAGGTGTAGAGCTGGATGAACACAGCAGGCCAAGCAGCATCAGAGAAGCAGGAAAGCTGACGTTTCGGGTCTGGACCCTTCTTCAGAAAA